ATAAAACATTTTGGACTCTTCGACAAAAAGGAATTGAACTAGAAATTGAATTGAATTGAATGTTTAGAAATTACCTTGAGCATGGAAGCTATGAAGTCTCATGTAAAATCGCTTTTTGTATTGTTTTATTTTTAAAAGCTTCTAGTCAAACCTACTTATGCAGGGTGGTTCATGTAATTTTATGATCCGAATCCAAAAGTGTATAACTGGTTGCATTTAAATAAAATTCTAGAGGGTCATAACTCTGATCGGCTTTGGCTATTTACTGATTGATAAATAATTTTGTCGTTTTTTGATAAAAATTTTAATTGTTACTAATTGTGTATCAGAAAATGTATCTAAGGGTATCGGTATCTAAATGGTTTAAGCAGTAGTTTGTGGATGCAATTTCCGCAGTGTAAATATTTTTGTACTTGTCCATAAATTTCTTGGCAAGCGTTTTTTTTGTGTTTTCAACTAGGAACAAGTAAAGATAAATGGGATTTTTTCATTTAACTCGTTCCTACTATCTTCGATCACGTCTTCATCAGATTCCTGCTCTTTTCCAGACAAGTTTTTCACCAGATTTCAAACATCTTGCGCCGTTGTTCGTGCTCATTCTAGGTTTTGGCGTTCTAATTACAATAATTTTCCAATAATCTAATCCTCGCTCGAAGAAACTAATCCCCGTGTCCAGTTCTCGGGGATGAGCGTGGGCTTATTTCTTTCGGCCTAGTAATCATTTTTATAAAAGAGGAGCCACCGTTCTGGCTGAAGTAGCACAAAGTGAGCGTTTTTCATTGAATTATTATAACATTCTTAAGCGAGTTACGAGTTGACGTTCCGTTAAGGGGATTACATGACATAAATTTAACACGCGTTATTAGTTCTGTCAGCGAAGAAGTAACCGGTAAAGAATGAAGAGCATCCGTCGCAAGACAACGGAAGGGAAAAATTGTCATAATTTGTAAGAGAATTCGTTTGTTCTTCCAGAAATGCTGCCGTCAGGACGAAATTCTGGATTCCTGGTTAAGTTCCGAAAATCGTTAGCGATGACGTTTCTTACGGTTGTTATTTATCTCGTGTCACGCTGAAATATTGTTATAAATAATTACGCAACGAGACGAATGGACTTCTAATGTCTTTGGCTGACGGCCGGAACAAAGCCGAAGAGATTATTCCTCGAGTTCGAAGCGAAGACTCCGATAAATCATCCTGAAACAATTCAGCTCAAAAGTGATTCGCTTATAGGAAATGATGAGGAACGATGAGAGTGACGTTTGTAGACTTGAAATAACACTCAAGTAAATTTTTCGAATTTTTTGCTTTAAAAACCCGGTTTATCGTTGTCGTAAAACTACAGTGATGACAGTCGTAAATTTGCAACTTACTGATGTTCTACTAAAGCTCGGTGTTTGCTCGTAACGGGGGATGGAAATTGTTACTTTACACCCATATCCCGCGCTCAATTAGGGATCAAATAATTAATACGAGTCGGTTTCCGAACTGCACACACTGGAGCAGAGCAAAGCAAATGTCAATCAGTTGGGGTAATTTAATGGTGTTCCATTTGGGGATAAATCCTGAGATGTATTATTATTAGTAAACAACATTTGTAAAAATTAATTTTAAGGAGAGTTTCTCACTACCAGTTAACACGAAGTTTACTTGAAGATCATGCGGTGCGATAGCTTTTTTTTGGTCGTAACATTCCTTTTCCCGTTTATTTGAATAAAATTCATTAGCTTCTTGGTATGTTCTTCCCTTGGAAGCCGCTGAACAAGCACAAAGTCCATTAGTCGAACATTTATGTGCAATTAAAAAAAGTGTCGTTTGAGCTTCGCTGTCCAGTTTAACATTGTTGACTCGTTGTAAGTCTCATTTAAATCGTCCTCAACAAGCACAGTTGGAGATCGCTTCTGTAAATCCAGGTGTCTCAAGCCCGCAAAGCCAGAATAATATTAATACAGTCGGATCTTTTATGGGGGCATAATGGCGCGGCGCAAACCGGAATGGTCCCCTTCGAGCTTTCGCGAATTTAGCGAGTTAATTCGCTTGAATAATTAACGACGAAGATTCATCTGGTCCAACATATCATTAAAGTGGAATCTAGTGACATGATTCTCTTAATTACCTTAATTTATTTTACTAGATCGCTTGGCTGATAGCCGGCTAACAACTTGAAACGTTTGTGAATATGTTAGTGGCCGGTATAAACTTGTTTATATGTTGGACCCTCCGGCAATCGCGTGGTCGGTTTGGGGCCGAGATCGCTCTTCGATAAATCAGCGACTTCTCTTGCCGACTCGTAAGCTCAGTTTGCGTGCGTTATCTGCGTTCGATTTTTTCACATTCGGACTATTTACAGGCATTCGCGTCTTGTTTATTATTCGGTCTTGTTTAAGTGTTTTACCGGTTTTACTCACGTGGGCGACCGGTTAAATAGTTTTCATGTAAGCACTTAACGTAAGCTCCAAAGCTTTAACCTCTTTCATATTCCGGGTAATCACTTTTAAGTGGTGCTTTTTACTGCCAAGCTTTTTCAACCGTAGCTTTTAGCACAGTTTAATATAATTTACTTATAAACTATCACCATTTGCATACAGTTAAGATAGTTATAAATAAGTAAAAGTAGAGAATTTAAACTAAGTTTTTCTAGTAAAAATTAGTATTCGGCTTATTTAATTTATCTAAACACCTGCCTGTGTTCCATTAAATTTATATGCAGTAATAGGGAAATAAAAATTGTCATTGCAAATAGTAGAGTCATAAACATTGCCGTTATGCCATTCAGCAGCACAATTAATCGAATTTATTGTTGACAATTATTTTTAATTTATGATGTTGTTTCAACAACGAACCGCCGTAAACAAACAGTTTAAATTTATTCTAATCAATTCTATGTTTCTCTTTGAGTTTACTTTGAAGCCCAGAAATTTACATTTTTGATTTATTTCACCAAAAAGTCGTCCATCAGCATCTGACCAGTTTTCTAACTGAATTATATGCCCGAACACTGTTGACCACAAAGCTCTCATTTATCATCATTATAAGTGTGTAATTATTCGTCGGAAATTTCGGAAACCTGCGATATCCAGTTGAGGGGAAACTCGAGCAAATATTTACCTTTTTATAATATTTTTGGCAAATTAATTTGTAACCCAAGAACACATTCGCCAGACAAAAAGCGTCGTAATTTCATCAAGTCAGGATTAGAAGTTTTTGTTCCGGTTTAAGTCCTGGTAACCCCAAAATTCATATCTGGCTTCTAAATTAATTTGCACCGGCCAGGTCGTAGATTTCCTAGGATAAAACTGACCCTAGTTCGAACTAAAGCTCGACATTTGCAGTCTCCATTCGCTACTGTATAAATCCCATGGTGCTACTCTCTGGGAATATATAACAATTAAGTTACAGCTCGCATTACAAAAAGCGAGCCATTTTACATAAATTTACATTTCGAATAACCGGCGCACATGAAACATTTTGACAACGTACATGCATAATAGCCATTTAGCATTTTGCTTTGGTTTTATTACGTTTTAACATATGTTTTATTACAGCCGACGACGATTTTATCCTAATTTGGGCCCTACCTGAAGACCAAGCGGCTCCTTTTTTTCACTTCGGAGGACTGTTATTCCAGTTCATGTAAATGAGTACACGAGGCTTAAACCACAAATTCTGCTTCCAAATGAAATACGATAATCGCATTAATTGGAGCGAAAACATTTTTTAAGCGCTTAAATCGTTTCAACCGAAGTGGTTACACCATCGTGCTTAATAAAAATAAGGGATGAAAAGTGCTGAGTGGCAATTCTGTATTTGTTCGCGCAGCTGAAAGTGCTGGGTAGATACTTTTAATTTAGCACTTTTTGCAAGGGAGAACGATTTTATCACGAGATATAGTTTGATTCTCATCACGGAGAGAGCTTTTAAATAAATATTTTACTCAGCGATTTTGCTATTTATCGGATTTAATATTTTTCCAGACGTGATTACTAGAAGTTTCAAGATTTTTTAGAGTGTTTTTGCAACTGCATAACTGCTTACTTTTAGTATACAAAATGTAAGGAGTTGTTAAGATATTTCAGAAGTTTTGTAAAATTAATAAGTAATGAGAATAAATCGTGAATTGGGAGGAAACAGAAAGATGTAAGCACTTTGTTACTTTATTTTATTTTTCTCTTTTGTTAAAATAGAACAATATTTGGATGTAGGTACATACAGATGGTTCAAAATCACAATATAAAAGTTTTGTTTTTTATGCAAACCAAAAAATTTAAGTCATAATATATGAGTATATCATCTTGTTGCACTCGTGTAGAAAAATGGGGATGCAAACGGCCATTGGCTAGGCAAAGGAGACAAACAATTGTGATATAATTTTATTCTTTTTCAACTTGTGATGTCCTTTTTTGGTATTTGAAAAGTGTTGATTTGTTAGTTCGCGCTGAAAAACGTTTCTTTTGCGCCCTGTTATTAATAATCAGTTTTATTACAGAAAATGTGGTGTCATGAAGAGTCGAAAAAGTAACACAACCATTAATTTTACACATATGGTTGATGAAAATTTTAAGCATAGGTTGCGTGAAGCCTCATTATTCATCCTTACTCGGCACTTACCATAACGATTTTTCGAGTAAACGTAGATATTTTATCGGAATATAATTGGCTTAAGAGGAGCGATTCGTGAAAATGTTTTGTTGCAACTCAAGGGCATTATTCAATGATGTTAAACGTACGTGAAATTGAAGTAATTTTCCAGCGACACAAAAGTAATTAGATCCTAAACGAACTAGCCTTCCTTGTCACCGGGTTAAAAATCATCAAATAAATCCTCCTAAAGACAACTCAATTCGCTTTTCTTATTGATTGCTTTCCATCAGTCATCGCATATAGTAAATGAGTTAAAACTCGTCGTTTTAAATGCATTGGATGTGTTGTGCAAATGTTTGTATTTCATTTTCGGAACAAAGCCTAAACGGAATAGAATTTCAAATGAGGCTGTTTTTTTGCAGATGGTCCCTATCTCGACGACAACTCCCCGACCAAGTCCACGGCGGACCACCACGACGAGTCTCTCCTCTTAAATTCCGACTCTTTGCCCATCTTCCTCGAGGAACCTCAAGACTCTTACGTGGTCAAGAACCGTCCTGCTGTATTGAAATGTCGCGCCGCACACGCCCTCAAACTCTATTTCAAATGCAACGGTGCAAAAAACGTAGAGACTTCCAAGTTCGATTTCGTCGACCCTCAAAACGGTGTTAGGATTATGGAGGCCGAGACGAACGTTTCGAGGGACATGGTGGAGGAATTCTTCGGCAAAGACAAATTCAAATGCGAATGCTACGCGTGGAGCGGAAGAGGCAGCATCAAGAGCCAATCGGCAACTATCGATGTGGCTTGTAAGTATTTCTTGTCTGGTGTTCCGGCAATTTGTTCGGAAACAATCATGTCGCAAAGATAGGAATCCACCTAGTTATTATCCTTTGATGTCAATATATCTTCGCGGAACTAACAAACGGTCTTTCCTAGTAAATTGCCATGAGTAATAAAGCCTTTACAAAGTTAGACAAAGAGACGATTTTGCTCTTATAATTTATTCATAAATAATTGAAGTTTTCCCATAACGATCATGATTATACGCTGCAACAAATAGTTTCCTGAAACAAGACGCACACAGAGCTTTAGTTGAGAAATATCAGATCAGTATGCTAGATTTTAAATTTAAATTCCTATTTAGAAAATATATGAAATATAATTATGTATAATATTTACAAATTAATTATAGTAAAATTTATTTATCAAGAGATTCATTTGGAAAACCTTCTGCTAAAAATCCATTTGCGTACTTGTTTCATAAATAACTCTTATTTTTTTGTTTCTTTGAATCATGGCCGCCTACACTAGCAACTAATATTTTTTCTGATTTTGCAACCCACAATGTACAATGCAAAGAAATGAATAATGACTGTTCCTGCTGCTACCGCTTGAAGTTAACTAGAAAGAATTATCGTCTTGGGCACGAATAGACTCAAGTTGCACCTCCGGCGACTATTTTATCTTTTTATTTTTTCAACTTCGTGTCACTCTTAATGAATTATAACCTAGCATTTAAATTTCCACACTGTAATTACGTAGCTGGTAGACAGAAGCTTCGTCAAACACCCCGTGTAAGCTATTGTGTCAATAGAATCGTCGAAAACTTTTCGAAATCTCTCAAAACAAACAACAGTTCTGTGTTCCATTAGCAAATCCATATCAAGTGGAAGGTTAAATGAAACGAAAAAATTGTCGTTGTGGAAACATTAAACACATTCAATAAAATCCAGAAAACGTCCTTATTTTTACAAAGTCTCAAATCTCCGCTTTCTCATTTATTGATGTAAACTTTGCGAAAACAAAAGTTTTTTTGGTAGAAAGAGTCGTGCTTTAATGAGATGTCCGAGAATAAAGGCAACGAATTTAAACTTTGACGGGGATTACCGGCTTTAAAGTTTTAAAACCACAAAGAATGTCGTGCTGGGAAAGTTGATTGATTAAACAATATCGAAAAAGAAAACAAGAAGCTGAACGTTCGTATTGATTCGCCGACTTAAAAACAATGTCTCCGTCTTTGTGTCTCCTTTGAAGTCGTCAAAGTTGCAATTAAAATGCACCCAACTAATAGAGAATCTCCCCTCGGAGCGACCCTTATGTCGTTACCTTTTTTCTCATCGTCTGACTTATTTTTGGCTCTTTGTCGATGCAAAAGTAATTCGTTGAGAAGCACTTGATTCCGTGTGGGCGGCTAAATTGGAAGAAAGAGTCGGATTGTTGAAGCGTCAAAATGGAATAAGATGAGTATTGCTCGGGGCCATTCGGATATTAAGCAATTTTTAAGCAAGAACTCCTTTTAAAGAAGATTAACGGCTCGAAATTAGACTCGGGTGATACTTCTTCATGTTGGCGAGATAATTAGCAACATCGGTGGAAACCGCCGAGAAAAATGACCATCCTGTATAGTTAGATTTACGCTGAAATAATTACGGGCATTAAAACAGTAATCTGTAATTACAGGAGAGTGTAGGCCATTATCTCAGATATCCATCATGCAATTAACGTTCTGCCACGTACACACTCGCACACATGCGTCTCTTCCCCATATGCAGGGTGCAGCGAATCAGTTATTGAGCTAATTAAGCTACTAGTTCGAAAAAGGACGTTTGCAGCCCGAGTATTTGCTTACAGGCGTTTGAAATAGGTTTCATTAAGCGATTAAATGTTCTCCTCATACGTGACTGTTTTTGTGCACCAAGTTCCAAGGCGATCAATTCATGCTTTATTACTTTATCGAACTTCCACAGGCTCTTCACGATTTTCTCAAAATTGTCGGATTTGCGAGAGTGCATTGCATTGTGGCGTTTCATGTGTGCATGGCATATGAAATCGCACATAATGACTCTTGTGTGCAGACTGATGCGATGTGGAAGTATGTAAAAACATTAGAACAATTTCACATGGAAAAGCTTTTAACCGAATGTACATTTTTACGATTCGGAAAATCGTTTGACATACTTTGTATGTACCATTTTGGTCAGTTTTCCTGTCATTAAGAGCTAAAATCGCACAGCTTTTTCTTACAGATTTATTCTACTAGCAAAGAAACGAAGAATTTAATTTAATTGAAAGTATTTTTTATTCGTTGTATCATATTTGACTCTTTTAACGCCAGTTTTTATACCTCATTTTAATGTCTTCAGTATTTTTCTTGCACAACAACTGGTATATTTTATAATAAATTTTAAACCAGTTGGTCTAATATTCTCAATTTATTTTTATTACATCCTAAATATTCCTTAACGGAAATTTCGAGGATATGAACGCATTTTAGAACATTTGAAATGGTTTCAAAAACTTCTCGAGTAAAATTATTAAAAAATATGTTGTTTTTTATTAACTGTATTTGTGCTTAAATTATTTTTTAAATTATGTAAAAGTTGTGAAGATATCGCAAGAATGGGAATGATTGTAACTTTTGAGTCTGTATAAACTGAAAAGGGGGAGGGTGTCAAGTAGAATGCAGATGGCGCAACTGTCACAGCTGCATGTTTGCAAAGTTTAGAATATTAATCAGCGATTACCTACCTTAGAAAGTGATACATCATTATTTTGTCAGAATTTTTACTGGAATAATAGGAGAAATTTATCTTATTTAATTTACGTAATAGTGAGTAAAATGTTTCAGAATATATCAGAGAACTGAAATTTAAAAATCTTCTTAGATTTGCAACAGTTTTGCAAAAATTTGAGAAGAAATTTTTTAACTAATTGATCGAGTGATTGTACTTAAATTTACAGCTAATCATTTAAAAAATACTGTTTGGTGATAGATCAATTATTTGAAGAACGAATATATTTATCTATTTTGTTACTAAATAGTAATTAAAAATTACATGTATTTCAAACACAGAGCTTCCAAATATTGTTTGTTTATTTTTCAATTATTTGTTGGTTTATATCAACTAATAACAGAGGCATAAGAATAAATAAAACATGCGCAATTTCTTAAAAAGTTTTTTTCAAATATAGGAGATTTTTGAATAATTCTATTTTTTTTTTCTAAAGAATGTGATGTTTTCTAAACCTGTGCCCACACGTCCTCCACTAAGTTTCCATAATCGGATTAAAGTAAGCATTTAATGGCTCTCATTAATATTAATTAGTAAGTTTGTTGCACATTTATTATTTGAGTGGAGCGTATCTCCATTCACGAACAGCTGTGAGGCATAATCATTTACAATAACGTTGTCTAATTGTTATTGCTATTATTATACGCTAAGAACTGCTTCCTGTGTTATGATATAAATAGATTAAAGTAGGTAAATTAAATTTCAAAGATAGCCCGAGGAGAATTTGTTGAACAGCGCGGCGTCTCGACCGTAACTACCTACCACCACTTGACATCGATTACGAACCTACAACTTTGAAAACACTAAAATACATCCGAGATAAGTTGAAAAAGAGCGGAAATAATTTCGGAGTTGCTGGTGATTAGGAAATTACTAAATTTTGGCTGACAAACTGGGAAAAGTTAATCGGTTTTGTCTAAATTAAGTATAAATAAAACAAGAGCCGCCGGAGGCGGCGACATCCATTTAGCGTAGAATGGGGCCTTGACGCCGGACCTGTTATTATTAACTGTCAGTAACTGAAGTATTTATGTTAGTGACAGCTCGTATAATGCCTTCAAATTATTCCGCCCCCGAATGTCATATGAATTTTTCCAGATTATTTTCATCAGCAAACTGATAAAATTAATTAAAAATCGTGTGCTTTGTTGGCGAATCTTCCGGCACACAATAGCTTGAAACTATTGTTTACGACAGTTCGGCTTATAATTTTCGATAGGCAACAAATCAGACGTGGCCATTAGCGATTCGCATTAAAATTTAAATGCGGGTAATTAATAGCGATGCTAACAATTAGATGAAAACAATTAATTAACATTGTAACGGACCGTTTAATTCCTCGCCAATTTATACACGAACTCTGAAAACTGTTTGCCAGAAATCATGGTAGAATAATTATCCTTTGTAATGATTCCTGGCGTTGAAAATTTAACTGCGTGAAAGCGTCCCGAACAATAGAAATTCATGTGTTTTGGGCCGCCCCAGCTCCAGACCGGAAACGCCACCGGCTATGAGTGACATGAATTATGACAGGAGCCGGGATTAATGCTAGGACTGTGCCAGGATTAGAGATATTAAACCCATCCTGGGACGCCGATTAACCGTTACCTGCCACAATTACTAAACTCCAACTCGAAACAGAATTTTTTCAGCTTAATTTAAATTAAAACTCTCACGGTTTGGAGGAAAAAATGTGATTGATTGCAGTGTCGTGGCCGTCAAGGGACCCCCTTTTGACGTTTCATTCTTCAGTGCTTCGTGTCTATTACGATCCGAAATAATCAATCCTGGGAATGCTGGGAATGAATAGAGATGATAAAACGGTGTCCTTTCAAAAAATAAAAAATGATGAATTACACGAGTTTAATTAATTCGTTACTACTACAATGGAAGCAGAGGTAGATTAAAACTCAATGAAACCATTCGATACGCTCGTTTCGATTTAATATTTCAATAAAATAAATTGGATGTAGGCTGAAATACATCATGTTTTTATTCGAACGGTCTTTTATATCGAGTGGCTCAGATAAAGGTTTAAATATTTATAGGCACTATAAAAGATGACGGTTTTATTAAAGGTGGATGCACGCCAGACTTAACCAATTTCGAAAATTAAATTATTCTTGCTTGAGGAGAGCCACTTCAGTAAGGGTTTTGTACTTTGTAGCTTCAATTTACTGTTAAAATGTATTGTTGCCACTGATTTCTTGAATTTACTACTGTAAATATTAATC